GTGGTCTAATGGGAGAAACGAGTTCGAATTCCAGTTCGGTTTCTTATATTCATTTACGAGCAAATACTCATGGCAAATGTATAAATCCACATCTTCTCCCTCAGCTATGGGTTAATTAGTACGACGTTTATGACATAAGCATTATTATCTCAAAACGTCTAAAAATAGATTCTGATTTTAAATAAGGGTTAATAAGCCGTAGACAACAAATCAATAAAGAATAAAAATAAAGTTTAAGGAGAAAAACCTAATCAATTGAATTTAATAAAACTTTTTTAAATGAATGCTCACAGAATAAACATACTTTCTGTGTGCGCACGAGTATGAATGTGTGTGGTTGTGCGTGCGTCCGTGCCTGTTTGTGTGCATGTGTGTGTGTGCATGTGTGTATGTGTGTGCGTGCGTTCGTGTTCGTGAGTGTGTGTAAACGTGAATGTGTGTGTGTGTGTATGAGGGCGTGTATGTGTGGGGGGCGGTGCTTGTGCACGCGTGCGCGCGTTTCATTGCGAGAAAAAAGAATATGTTGGATAGAGGGAGAGGGGAGAGTGAGTAAAGACAGAAGTGAATGCGAGAGAATCGAAAATAGAATGGAAGAAGCAGACGATTTTCACTATTCATTTTCGAGTAGAATCTGGTTTTTGTAACGAATGGACAAAGCCCATTCAATGTAACGGCCTTGTCTCAAGCCCGGCAGGTGCAGAGGCAATTTCGCATTGTTTATTTTTTCCCGCCTCTAAGTCTTGACAACAATGCGTTCAGTTGAGGAGAAAAAGATAAGGTGTTATAGTTGGAGTTTAACCCAATTCTTCGACATGGCGAAGTCAAAAAAGAACTTATCCTGTCCAGCCATGCATTGCGGCAATATACCGCTGATGTCATTCAGGTATGACGTAAAGGGATAGAGTATATGTGTATATCTCTGACACTTATATTCTCCTTGTATATATCTACTTCTCTCTTTCTCACTTTCTCTCTGTTTATCTTTTTCTCTATCTCTGATCAATTTCTCTTCACACCTCGCTCTGTCTGTCTATATTACCAAACCCTTGGTTAGAAGGGCTTTTAAAAGTGGCTCTTTGAAATTGTTCAGCCAGGTTTATCCGAGATTTTTTTTTTTACTAAATGTTCACCTAATACGAGGCCCAAGAGCCACTCAAGGTAGGGGACTAAAAGATGAGGTTGTTGTATGAACGGCTGAGGGAGAAAGGAGAAGTAATACAAAAGATGAGGACAAGTACAATGGGCAATGGTTGAGCCTATATTTGAAGAGATTAACGTTCAGGGAAGCATCCTCTCGGGAGTCTGTTTCAGAAATTAGAAATGAGAATGTTTTGCCACTGTGATGGTCTTAGCTGTAATGCTTTTAACTGGGAGAACTAATCAATGGAGCTTGCCATAACATTTGCCATGTAAATAGCGATGCATTAGTGAGAGATTTACAAGGTTTCATCTGTGGGAATGGGAGGAAAATAATTCATCGCCTGCAAGGCCGCGTAATCGCTTTTGAATTGACGAGACTGGAAAGAGAAGACTGGAAAGTACGAGCCCGGATATGAATCTTCTGTGCAGGAACACACACACACACACACACACACACACACACACACACACACACACACACACACGCACACACGCACACACACACACGCACACACACACACATATATATATGTATATATATATGAAGAAATATAGTTTTAATCGTGCTATATTTATGGGATAAAGTGCTCAATATCAGAGATAGAGCGTATGTAAATATAAAAGTGAACATTGAAGTCAACACTCAGAGGCGACAGGCTGTTTCATACTGGACGCAATCGCAATTGCCTACAGCATGAAACAGCCTGTCGTCCAAGTGTTGACTTCAATGTTCACTTTTTTTATATATATATATATATATATATATATATATATATATATATAAGGCAGCATCAAACATTGTCAAGCTTCGTCAAACTAGGAAAGGAATAAAATATCTGCTGCTGTTCCAGCCATATACTCCAAGAATCCACAATCTGTGGACGTCTTTGCAAATCACTAGCAGAACTGAAATGTCACTTGCGACTCACACACACAGGGTTAAATAAACAAAGTTGTCGGAACCTCATACATCGAAACCGACGGAGAGTCCATAATATATATATATATATATATATATATATATATATATATATATATATATATATATATATATATAATTGATTAAATTCAATATTTCTAATAAGCAAAATACTTTTGCTGCATTTCAAAACGAATTTGAATTGATTGGAATGTTCTTTTTTTAAATTGCTAAAAATGGCTGATTTTAAAGCATATTTAGCAGAACGCAATTCTCTTTATTAAAAAAAATCCAAAATGAAATATAATTTTCTGAAACTTTATTTCAGGAAGATTAACTATTTCAAAGTGTAATTAATCTGATTTGAAATAAATATTATTACTTTTAGTTCAAAATATTGCAGGAAAGCATTTTTAACACGGAGGTGGATGATTTTATGAGTTGTTGAAAACTATCTCGATAGTCTTATGTTTCAGAATATTTTCTACGGGAGATATATCTTTAAAAATTGCCTGACTAATATAATTTTAGCTCATTTTTTATATAATGTTTTAACTACCCAGTAATCTTAAAAATATAGGAAATTTTTCTAAGTAATGTAATATTTTATTGAATTGTAGATACCTTAACTTTAAATTTACAAGAGTTACTGCTCTAATTTTTTGATACTGTCGGGTATGGACGTCCGTACTTACAAAAATCGGCACGTTTACACACACACACACACACACACACACACACACACACAAAAAAAATATTTTTTAAAATAATGGCGGTATGGGCAGCTAATGAAAATAATAAGTTTTTCCATTTACGATTAATAAAAGTATTATTTTACTTAATAACAATATCACTTAACCGAATTACAGTACAGAATTAATATAGTATTTTAAAAGATTTAAAAACTTTATAAATTATACTAATTAAAATAAAAAATATGAAAATAATTCTTGAAAAAATTCATTAGTCATTGATTTTTTTTTTATAATTAAATAATGTCTTAGTTTTATGACATTTTTCATTTTACGATCCAGAACAAATTTTCTAAGTAGGGCTGCTGTTTTATTAAAAAAAAAAAAAGGAAGAAAAATGATGATTTACATTCTCCAAACTTCTAACTAATATAAACATTAAACCTTATAAAAATGAATTTCTCGAAATTTCAAAGAATTAAATAATTTGGAAAATTAATAAAAAAAAAGTTAGTATCTGTGAATAAGACAGTAAATCCGATAATTATTATATTTTTGAAAGAATTTTTAAATTTTTGTGTTTTCAACGCAAAAGGACAATAAAAATCCAGATACTAATATATGGTCACCCGCTGATGCAAGAATAAAAATATTAATCAAGATACTGAAGTTACTAAAAAGGATTATAAATATAATTTAATAATAAAACAATTCTTTAGTCTTCTCTCTTAATAATAACAAAGATTTTAACAGTAAAACTTTGCTTTTATTATGTTTGGGGTAATTTTTCATCATGTATGCTCATTTTTTAGCGAATGTTTCGAGGTGCCTACTTTTATTCAGCCAAGCCACGTCCACGAAGTCGAATCACCCACATTTCCTTCGTTCCCAAATGTAAGCAGAAACTCCAAGATCTGTCACTTTTGGGGACACCTTCTCGTGTTGGTCCTTCCTTGAACACTTCTATCCTGGCATCTTCAGAGATTCGGTTCTACATAAGGATGCTGAAATTACCATGGACGGAGCGCATATTAAGCACAGTTCAGTTTAGTTATGTGCCATGCGTGATTCACACTTAGGCGATCATGTATCTTTCGATACATGACCGACGAAGCAGATTTTTATCCCACAGTAGGTTGCCATTTCTTTCTGCGGTAGACCAGTTGCCATCCAAGGCTATAGAACCCGATCTGTCCTGCTAATTAACCATAGCTGGAAGTGGGTGGAAAGGATTCAGGGTATTAGTGAATATAATTCCTCAATCCGAGCCGCTAGCCATTACTCCACCGTCAATGGTAACAAAAAAGACAGTTATACTTTGAATTAGAAGGAGAGAGCTGAAATATATTGGACGCATAATGAGGAAAGAGTGCTTGGGGAATTTGGCACTCATTAGAAATATCGAAGGTAAAAGGGATAGGGTATGACAGTGGGATCACCTACTTGACCAACTTGTTTGAATAGATTTCGGAATGAGGGTTAACGAGGGTTGGGAGGGATGGTAATAAGAAAAACGTTACTACAAAGGATAGAATGTTGTGGAGAGCCATAACCTAGTGAAGGCACGCAGCAGATAGAAGAAGATCAAGACAAAAGGCTTATTTTTATATTTCCGAGGGAGGGGGGATTTAAGCGAAACATACATAACTCATATCTGATTCACCATGACACCAATATTTACGAAATTTATCTCACTCAGCTTGTTTATGTGTCTCATAACGCTTCAGATAAAAACCCTTTATTTTCCTGCTGCGATCTTTTTCCCCCATTTTATCGAAGTCCTTTCCCTTTTGTTCTGACTGTCTGAATTCCACCACTTCAACAAAAAGACGTTTATTCTTCTCATGACTTTTCCGGATGCCAACAACAATAACCGATAAATCTTGACACGCATTAATATTCAGTCGCCTAGAAATAATCCTTATGACTCCAGAAGACGCTTATTTTTATTGCCATAATTTTTCCTCTTCACTAGAAACCAAAAATTAAATGAAAGGCGTCTTTGTGACCGAGATGAGACAAACATTAGCAAGGTGTTTTAAATATTCAATTAAGCGCATGTTCACGTGTAACTTGGCCGATAAGATTAAGGTTAAACGATATTAAATATTTTATAATGTTTTTTGTATCATTATTTCTAGGGATAGCCAGGTTAATTACGGCAGATCCACTTTTGATTCAGCACCGGGTTAATGATAGAAAAATTAATAGTTTTGTTAAAATACTAGTTTGGAAAAAGAGATCTTTGCATGCTGAAAACCTTTTCCTGTTTCTTTATAGTGTTTTATTCGTATCTATCTATCTATCTATCTATCTATCTATCTATCTATCTATCTATGAATATACATTGTTGCTTAATGCCTGTACATCTGTCCACTCCTTACCCATTCTGTTAATGTCTACCCAACTCAAGTCTGCGTAACAGAATCTGAAACACCGGCCTCGCCAGGAAAAAAGAAAGAAGAATATTTCTCGTTTCTTAGAAATCATAAATGCGGTCATTCTTGACAATAATGAATGAATAATTTCCCTTATTATCGTTTCCATGTTCGAATGTCTGCAAGTTTGAAAGATTAGACTTCCTAATTGATCTCCGGTTTATTTTCGGCGAAAAGCGATACACGATATTTCACAGCTATTATCACATATCTACCGCGAAAGCATTTGATAAAGTACGCCACAAAGAACTGCTGCAACTGCTAGGTAACCTTGACATATTTGGGAATGGTAGTAAAGTAATCCAGAAGTTATACTGGTAGTAATGGTCTTAAGATTTAAGAATGGTACCGCCTACATACGGATAGGAAATGAGTTCAATTATAGAGTAATAGGCCGTGGTTCAATGTAAGTGCACAACAAACAGAATTTTTAAAGAGTTAACAAAATTAAAAAAAAAAAAAGAAAAAAAAAACAGAGAAAAATTAATAGGAAGAAAACAATATATGCATGACAAAAGTAGACAAAACAACAGCAATGAGGCAAAAAGTTCATAAAACATGAATTATGTTTACTCACAAAAAGGATGCAGGCGTGATCGCGGCGTTCTGACTTCACAAGAAACTTATATAATTATGGTGGATGAGACTGAGAAGTGATCTATCTTATTGATTCATCTAAATCAGACTAAATTGATGTTTACTTTGGTCTAACTACACATGCGCACAAAGAATAGAGGACGTTAGAATTTCAAACTTTTAAAGTTATTTTTTTAATATGTGTTTGTTATGATAGAATTGGTGGGTGAAATAATATATTTTCATTCTTTGCCAGAATGGTCCACTCTTATATATTGAAATGTTTTTACAAGAAGAAGAAGAAGAAAGAGGAGGACAAGGAAGAAGAAGAAGAAGAAGAAGAAGAAGAAGAAGAAGAAGAAGAATATCCTTTAGATTTTTTTTTTTTAAGCATTGTGCCCCAAGCAAGGCGTGAAGCCACTAGGATGCAGGGGGTTGCGGAAGATTTGGAGCAAGAGCAGATAAGAGTGATAAGAGAAAGGAAGAGGAGAAGGATAGTGGGTAGATCAAGGTAATTGGAGATGTCGATTGACATTACATTTGAATAGTTGGAGATTATAGCTCTCAGGGAAACAGTAATTGGGGAGGGTGTTCCACTGGCGAGAGGTGCGAGGTATGAAGCTATTGGAGTAGAAGAGACGGCTACATTTGAAGGTTTCTACGGTGTAAAGGTGAGAGCGGGATGCCAGCCTCGTAGGGCGCTTGAATTCATGGAGTCTGGGAACCAGAGAGAGCAGCTCATCAGAGCAGTTACCATGGAAGTATTTGTAGAAAAAGACAGAGAGAGGCGACGGCGCGTCTGTGAGAGAGAGTGACTGCAAACAAGACGCTAGATCAGGGCCAATTAGATTACATATCCTTCTCTGGATCTTGTCAAGAACTCCGAGGTAAGCAGAAGGTGCTCCAGCCCATATATGGCAGCAATACTCCATGCAAGGGCGAATGGTTGTTTTGTATATTTGAAGTATCGATTCAGGGGAGAAAAATTTCCTGGCGCGGCACAGAGAGCCAACTTTCCTCGCGGTGGAAGAAGCAATTGACTCAATGTATTTGTTCCATCTCAGGTCAGCAGTCAGCGTCTTGAACAAATGATTAATTCCTTCATGGATTACAGCGTTTTAAGAGAGAAAAGGTTATACATTATCGCAATTGGCCACTGTCAGGTATTGACAGGTTGTAGAAGTGTTTTTATTGTTGTCAAGAAAAGATAAAATTCATCAAAACATCAAGAGTTATGTATCGCCGTAAGTGACAACTCCTTTTTTGTCTGATCTGACACATTTCGAGAGTGAGATCAGACCAAAAATGAAGCCAACGTGTGATTCTTTGAAGGATTGCAGTGTTTTGTCACAGAAAAAGTTGTACCAGAAAACACCAAGGTCTCCAAGTGCCCGCCATTTTCTTGCATGTTTTTTATTTTCATTTTTATTTAATTTTTATTCATTTCATCCCAAGTAAGGCGGGAATGCCACTAGCATGCAGGCGGTTACAGGAAGTAAAAGTGAGATAAAAGACTGAGTATAGGAATTATTGAGAAAAGGACAATGTGAATGGGTTTCAAGAAGACAGAAGATGATGATTGACGTTGCTTGTAAATTTTTGAAGATTATAGTTATCAGGGAAGCAAATAAACGGGATGGAATTTCACAGTCGGGAAGTGCGAGAAAAGAAACTGCTGGAGTAGAAGTGCCGGTTGCATTTAGCTATTTCAACAGTGAGCGTGTAGAACCTAGATACTCATCATGCAGTCGGGACACCAGAATAATTTACCCCGGTGGACGAAATAAAGGGTTCAGTTCGAAATTCCAATCACCTGAAGAAGGACGGAGCGCACATCGACCGAAACGCCGTGAACATGACAATAAAGATGAGGAATAACAGTCCGAATAATGTAAATAATATAAATGATAAGTTCATGAAGCGTTTTGTTTTGGAGGGTGGGGGTTATGTATGACAACATCACGTTTAAATATCGGTTCCCGTACGATCACTGAAGTTAAGCAACGTCAAATCCGGTCAATGCCTAGATGGGTGCCCGCTTTGGAATAAACACTGTCTTAATGTACTTTATTTAATTTAGATATATTTAGTTCTAGTTGTTTGTTATTTCTTGAAAAAGATTCAAAATGTGTGTACATTTTTTCGGCACCCCATATAGCCTACAGTCAGCCCCCCCCCTCAGCTAACCATAAAATTCTTGAAAAGTTACCCTGCGTTTTTAATAGGATTAAATTATATCCTTTAAGTACCTAGATGAGTGACCACTTGGGAATACCGGGTGCTGCAAGTTTGGGTGTGCAGGTGGTGTAATGAATAATGGCTCGGAATTGTTAATCGGAGAGCCGAGTTCTAATTCCCGTTGGGCTCGTAATGTTCACCTACATGCAAATAGCCTTAAGGAACGTATGAATTCACCTTTTCTCCACTCAGCTATGGGTTAATTAATAAGATTTGTATCACTAAATCATTATTCTCTGAGAAAGTTTCTTACAAGTTATAAAAAGTATATTCTGGCTTTAAATAACCTGTTGATAAGCCGTAGAAAACGAATTAATCTGTCAATCAAGTGTTTTTCTCCTAGCAGTGTTAAAGGTGATGTAAAACACGAACGTATACCGAAATGGAACTAACCCCTCGGTTTTATTTGTCGGATGTTAATTCGCTCATGAAGGATTTCTTTTACTCTTCAAAAAGGTAAATGGGTTCTAAAACAACAAGATGTGTCCATCATCGAACTTGAAAACGGTTTTATTTATCTGATTTTGCTCCGTTCAAGAAGTCCTTTTCTCTTGGAAAACATGAACGTATTCTCAAACAATTTTGACAATTTCTAAATTAATGTGTTTTTTTACAGCAAAAGACCCTAAAATTTTTAAAAGGATTAAAAATAATTAAATAGTCAAAGGACTCTTTAGTTTTTCAATTTAATAATGACATATAGATTTTGACAATAAAACTTTTTTTCAGTGAATTAATGGAAGTTCCTAACTTTCTGGTTTAAATAACGTACAGAGGGTTCATAAGTAGTAAAAAATGACTCAAATAGTCAATCAAGGGTTTTTCTCTTAAGAGTGATTAAAAACATGGACATGTGTCCAAATGGAATTGACCTTGATCTTATTTGTCGGCTGTTGATTCATTGCAGAAGGTTTTCTTCTCTTCGAAAAATGGATTCTAAAACAAGATGTATCCATCATCGGATAAGAACATGGCGTTAGTTGTTGGATGTTGATTCGTTCAAGGAGGCTTTTGCTCGATGAAAAGATAAACATATTCTCAAACAGCAAAATATGTTCACTAATCGAAGTTAAACACGCTTTTAAATTATTTGATTTTGATTCGTTAAAGAAGACCTTTTTTTTGTAATGTTAAACGTAATATCAAACAAGCTGAGTTCATTATTATAAAGTGTCCCTGCTTACTCTGAACTTTGTATATTTTAAGAACTGAAAACTTGTGTCTCTTTTATCTTGAGTTATTTTTTATATTTTTTATTATTTCTGAATATTTTAAAATATAAAATTATGGGCATATTATTTGACAACATCTTTCTCGCTGTAACTTTTAAATGATCATTTAATTGCCTTGCTAATTTGTTTTATTTTGTTTTGTTTTACAGCATATCAAGCTCAACGGGTTATTTAATGCCGACAAGATTTTTATTGTTGGTAATATTTTTTCCAAAAATGTACTACTGGTAATAATTTTTCCAAAAAAGAACTATTGCTGGTATTAAAACATATTTTTATACTTTCATAGTGATTTGACCACTTTTGTGGGGTTAACTATTTGCCCATAGCTGGGACCGTGACAGGTGCTACCACCCCGGGTCATGGCGGATCTGGGGACACCAGCAATTAAGAGGTAGTTCCATGCCCCCTCAAAACCTCCTGATCAGAGGCCTTGCTGTCGGATGTAGATTATCGTCTTACCCAGGACGCGGATGCAGTTTATGGTCTTACCCAGGATGTGGATGTAATTTATCATATACCCAGGACGCGAATGTAGTTTATCGTCTTACCCAGGACGCGAATGCAGTTTATCGTCTTACCTAGGACGCGGATGTAGTTTATCGTCTTACGCAGAACGCGGATGTAGTTTATCGCCTTACGCAGGACGCGGATGTAGTTTATCGTCTTACCCAGGACGCGGATGTAGTTTATCGTCTTACCAGGACGCGGATGGGCATCGTCTTACCCAGGACGCGGATTTTGACGACGAAGGAACATTGTTGATTTTTTGTTTTAAATCCGCCTAAGACGAAATTTTTGTCCGTGTGTCCCTACCTTCCATCAGTAGAACAAAGCTGCTCATCCTGCATTGAAAACACAACACAAACATTATCGGTCTTTTTAGGTATGGAATCAACGGCCACGTGTTCGTGACCATGTCGAGCCTTACAGGGAATCGGCTGTGGTTTGACCCGGAGAGGGATGGACTCCGCCAGGTCTGCTTAACCAAGACACGCTGCGCATAAATTAACATCTCCTCGTCTTTCAACTCAGATAGTTGGAGGAAATTAGTCAGGTACTAACCTGGGACGCGACCCTACGACCACACCCGGTCATGGGAGTGATGATGATGATGATGAGCAGGTATGTAGTCAAGAATGAATCGTATTTTCTCTCTCTCTCTCTCTCTCTACCTCTCTCTCTCTCTCTGACATATCCCTCTACGATGTAGGCATTCATGACTCTCTCTCGCTTCCGTTTTATTTTTTACTCTTTATTAATATTACGTTTCTTGTTATTTAACTAAGTCGTGTTCAGCTAGAAAAGAAAATGAACGAAAAGTGTTCAATAACACTTCCCGGAAACTGTTTAAGGAGAGTTTATTTTCAGTGTATTTTTCTATGGATGAAAATCTATCTATCTATCTATCTATCTATCTATCTATCTATCTATCTCATCTTTCTATCTATTTATCTCATTGTTTCTATCTATTTATCTCATCTATCTATCTATCTATCTATCTATCTATCTATCTATCTATCTCATTCTGTTTATATCTATCCCATTCTGTTTATGTCTGAGCCTGTTTATTTCTTTCACTTTCTCTCACTCTATGTATACCTATATATACTTTATAGCCATCTATCTATCTATCTATCTATCTATCTATCTATCTATCTATCTATCTATCTATCTCAATCTGTTTATATCTTAGTCTGTTTCTTTGTCTCTGAGCCTGTTTATTTCTCTCTCTCCTCTCTTTCTCTTTCTCTCTCTCCCTCTCTCTCTCTCTCTCTATATATATATATTATGGCTATCTCTCTCTCTCTCTATCTATCTATCTATCTATCTATCTATCTATCTATCTATCTATCTATCTATCTATCTATGCCAGTATTAATTTGCTTACGTATGTATTTGTATATATAGCTTAAATCTTCTTCCTTTCATATTTTATGTATGCTGATATATCTTCACAGAATCCTGACGTGTAAGCGCTATGCATGAATGTATGAAAGTATGTATATATGTATGTTTGTATGTACGTACGTACGTACAATGGATCAACTACAAGCTATGCCTGAAACCAAAATGGTGTCGCCTTCTTTTGTGAATTACCTTTATCTAATTGCTTCGCTAACAGACCTCATCAATGGAGATGTGGCCGCGCTAAGATAGCCCTCTTTGTTTCCTGGCCTCACCTGTAATTCTTTAATTAGTGGTATCGACACTCGGTCACGACGCTATACAAAAGCGGATAAAATCGACACAGAGCAGACGGCCTTCATCCCCGCACTTTTTCGTCCATTTTGTTTGCTTACCTGAGCTTTTTTCTTTTACCGCCACGCAGGGACTACTTTTTTGTGATCAAGTGACGTTGGCAAATAAAGCAGGATGAATCGATTTTTCGACATGTTGTCTTTTCATATTTGCCTGAAACGTCTCCGCCATTCTTTTATTTTAAGCTGTCCATGCACTTAACTTATCTCATTGGTGCCTGTCGGTTTAGTTTCGTCCGTCATAATGGAATACAGAAATTAACAAATACTAAACACCCCCAAAATCACGCTGTATGGATCAGTTATAACAAATTTAATATGGAAGATAAGGAAATTGAACATAGAATCTATGTATCTATCTATCTATCTATCTATCTATCTATCTATCTATCTATCTATCTATCTTAATCTGTTTATATCTATTTACCTTGTCTATCTTAATCTGTTTATATCTATCTATCTATCTATCTATCTATTAATATGTTTCTATGTATCTATCTATTATAATTTTTCATATAGGCAAAAACAGTTCACTCACTACAAAGATGCAACTTCGTTTCGATGCATTTCAATTGCACTTCGACTGATGTGAACCAAAATGGTTATGGATAATTCTGCTTGTAAGTAAGCCGTATGTGCAGTAATATGAATCTATTTTTGGAGTGTATGATGAAATTTGTTTGGTCTTGAAAAATCTTGTATCAGCCGTGATTGCATCAGATTTTCATCGCGACCAGACAGTATTGTCTCGACTGTCGATTAGTTATCCTACGGTCATTGTCCTTGATGGACGTTACTCCAAGGAAGCGTACGAAAATTGTAACGCTGCACGAACACACTAGGAAGCCTTACGAGTGAGCAAATCACAGTACTATAGACTGGCCCGGAAACTCTCCTGGTTTAAATCCAATCGATAATCTGTGGTTAATCCACAAGGAACGACCACGTAGAATGGACATACAAAGTACTAACAAGTGCACTGAGTCATGTTTTATTGGAAAAATACGAAAAAAAAATTAAATAATATCGAAATTATTCGTTTTGTTTCAATTAATTTGTACAAGAGTGTATGTAAAATGTCTGTGATCTTTGTTTTTTACAAACATGATGTTATGGTGGAACACATCTATTCTATAGTTAATAGACTCTCCCACCTATAATAAGTAGGAGTAGTAAGAGTACGGAGTCAGTCGGACCGTCGGTCAGTCAGTCGATGTCGGACGACAGTTAGTCGAATACGAAAGTATCAACGACCACCACAAGATTACTCTGCGTAATGCCTATTATATCAAGTTCCTAACGTTTTGTACGTCGAACCTATTTTAGGACCGATTTAGTACAAATACAAGACTCCACTGCGAAAACACTCCACCACACATGATCATTGGGAAACCATTTCTGACCTTAGGTCTTTGGATGGGACCCAGAAAAAATGTGTACAATAGAAATCAAAGGGAATAATAATAATAATAATAATAATAATAATAATAATAATAAAAATTAGAAAATTTTAGGAGGGAGGAGAAAAATACAAATACAGACCAAAAATGATAAGTCTTTTTCCTTTCTTTTTATGTGCCGTGTCCTTTCAGGACGTAGGCGATCATGGCTCTCCACTTTCCGCTATACCTGTGACTCTCAATAAGTTTGGTGCCACTTCCCCAGACCACATTCTACCATCCACTTGCTTAAGCCCTCCAGGTATGTCATAGGTTGCTTTCCCTTGTCTCTTTTTACTTCCACTCGACCTGTGAGTATCAGATTCTCTAGGTCCTCCTTTCTCATTACGTGTTCCAGAAATTTCATCTGCCTCTTTCTTATGTTAAGTATAAGCTTCCTCCTTGTTTGCATCCTTTCCAAGACCTCATCGTTGCTCACATGCTCGTTCTCTGATATCCTTAGCATCCATCTCCGCTGCCTCGAGTCTCTTCTTCACTTTTGAGGAGACCGTCCAACATTCGCTGCCGTATAGGAGGACAGTTAGTGATTTTAAAAGTAAACACATATGAAGACACGTTCAGAGCAAATCTACTCTGATCAATCGTTAAGGCTTTCGATGGATTAGAAAAAAGGACATTATTTACATTAGTCGGACTATTGTCCTCATCTTTGTCGTCATATTTATCACAACGTTTCGGCCGTTGTACGCACCGGCCTTCTTCAGGTGGTTGGAATTTCGAACTGAAACCTTTATTTCGCTCACTGGGGTAGACTGTTCTAGTTCCACGTGCCATGATGCCAGTTATTTCCTGTTAATTTCCATCTGAAAGTTCTCCACTTAACCGGGTATTGAACTCACACTCTGTGGGCCCTGTCACCAACGCCTTTATCCACTGTGCCATGTGTCCTTGAGGACATCTGGGTATGAATTTCTGGGTATTATAAACCTAATGTCTTCAGCAACCATTTTTACGAGTGCTCATATTGCAATTTTGCTGTTATCATTTCATGTTTTTACCAGAGCTCATATTGCAACTTTGTTGTTATCATTGCTTTTTCTCTGGCACTCCTTATTACTGGTTCCCATATTGTATTTATTTCTATGCTTGGTCGGCTCAGGAGATTTTTGTGGCCTAGCATATGTGCTGATTCCTTAAGTTTACGAATTTTCCAATGGTGTTCCTTGTCTATGATCTTAACATGATCCCACAGAGGGATCTCCATATGTGGTCAGCCACGCCTGATTTTTCTGCTTCCCCTCGTGTTACAGCTTTCTGGTGTTCTTGAAGCCTTAGCTTGAAAAAAATTCAAGACAAAGATTGTGAAATATTATTTGAATAAAAGCACGCTTCCAAAAAACTGAATTCTTCGTATGCTATCAGTCACTGAATTTATTTTGATGAACACACAAAAATGACTATTTTGAAAATCTGTTACGGGCCATACTGAATAGTTTCGCGAGCCACATGCAAGAAATCGAGTCATGTTACTATAGTCTGATCAGATCTAGGCTTTTATAGAGATGTCATGCACAGTACCCAACTTATTCAGAAATGTTTAAACTACCAATGCTGTACAACCGCTGTCTCAGATCAATGATTAAAAATTTCGAGTGAATGAACCCTGTACGTCTCAGCAAGGACCATATTTTTTAGAATCTTCTGGACTGACGTTAGAGAATCACAAAGAACTGAACCAAATAACAGAAACCATATTACATGCGGACTTTCAACATCAGCAACAGCTAAAATGGATAGCACATGTAACTCGACGAGAAAATAATCATATAATCAAAATGCTAGCTTCATGTCTCTTTTTCGTCTGTGTGGAGATTTTCCCGCATTCATTGCCATACAGAATTACGTAACAACTTAGTACTCTTTTCTTTGTTTCTAACGAATTTTTTTTCTGTTTCTTTGCTTAGCTTCTGGAAGGTGCCTTTCGCTGTCCCAATGTGCCTTTGGCTTTCAGTGTCGCACTTACCGTCCTCACTTCCCAGATATTTAAATTGTTGTTTTTGCTTGGTTTTGATATTTCCAATTTGTAATCTGCATGTTGGTCTGTTCCTTGTAATAAAGATACTGGCTATCCAGTTGAACCGAACGATAATCTCAGCTATGGCACCATCTCTATAAACGGCACATATATTCTTTTGCTGTTTGTACGGTATTTTTTCCTTTTCCGAAAATAGAAAAGCGAAAATGTATATAGTTTTTTAACCACTTTTTTTTAAGTAACAGCATTTCAAATTAAAGACGCGTTGAAATGTCATATTTCAGTATATGTATATATGTCATAAATTTCAGTCATGTGTGAAAGGAAATCGTGTGTTCAAACGCCACCTATTGAACAACATCAGGATCTTTTGTTTCAATCCAATATTATAGAACAATACAACTTGTTTTGTTACCTCCTATATTTAAATCATTTGTATTTGAGAGTAAGGATTGGCTTCACTGGAAAATATTGACAATGTTTTCTAACAGAAACAATGTCACCTGTGCCTGCACGTGTTTTAATGTCGTTGGTAAGGAATGGGGACCTCTATTGAGTATATATCGCCGATGAGGCACTCTCCCCCTCCGTTCGGTGTGTTGTTGCAATCAGTAATGCGTATGTGCGTATGTGCGTTTGTTTACTGGCTACAATGTCTTCATTATCACCTTCCCGCTATTTCACCGCTTGAAAAATCAAAGGTAACTTGGATGAAAAAAAAAATAGCAACAACAACAACAACAACAACAAATTCAGTAATTAGAGCTGAAGTCGCTTACTTAATCCTTTTGAAACCGGGGATTTTGGGCAATAATAATCAGCTGATAACATTAAGCAAAGGATATAAAAATTGTTCAAATTTTCATTCATTGTCATTCAGTTTATTTTTTTTATAAACTTCGCATCGTAAAAAAAAAAAAAAAATTAATACGAAATTTATTGACTTGAAATTATTCATTTTTAAAATTTAATTTTAAACAATTTCTTTTGGAGCGCCTGATTTTTGATAACAATATCCGATTTATATCATCCATGATTATAATAAACAATTTATTCGATATTTGTAAATCTATCAGAAAACGAATAGTGGCGGAATGAATTTACTATAGTCACTATTAATTTTTTTAATCAATTCACCGCAATCAAGGCAATAATGCCACTCTGACGCAAAGGACTACTGAGAGTGAAAGATAAACCTCTACTCCTGTTCAAAAGTCCAAGGAGGAGGGAGAACCTGCCGATACGATAGGCAAGTCTATGTACTCCTATTGATGACAAAAAAAAAACGCAAATAAACAATAAATAAAGATTCGGCGTTTATGTGGAGACATCATAAGTATAGAATTGAAATAGAATAGGAAACCTAATTATAAACAAGAAACAAGGGCCAAACCTCTACACCTGTTCAAAAACCGGGGAGAAGGGTGAAACGGGCGATAGGCGAATATATCTACGCGCATTGAAGACAAAAAAAAATGCAAGTAAATAGTAAATAAAGTTTCAGCGTTTAGGTGGAGACGTCAGAAGTATAGACTTGAAGTAGACTTTAGAAGGAACCGGAAACCTAATCTTATACGAGATAACCTCTACCCCTGTTCAAAAGGCCGGGAAGGAGTGTAAACCGTACGATAGGGGAAGCTATTAAGGAGAAAATAATAATAAATAATTAGTAAATAAAATTTCAGAGTTCAGACGGAGACGTTAAAATTATACAGTTGAAGTAGACTATATAAGGAACCTGAAATCCAATCCTAAACAGGAAATAAACCCCTACTCCTGTTCAAAAAACCGGCGAGGTTGGTGAGCCGGACGAATATAAATAAACTTCCAACATGTGTTTGAGATCGATTGATTACGATAATAATAAACAATTAATAATATTAGACATATTTATAAAGAAAAAGACTTGCTCTGTATTTTTAAATTTATTGGCGGTGTTAGTAATTAGCGCCAAAATTAATCTAATAAATACATTTCCAATAGAGTCTGTCTATATTTCTGAGATGAGGTATTATGTATAGAGTGCCAGAGAAAAACAATGATA